ACTCAAAACAGAATGAATGAGCTTTGTGTGTATTCATATAAAAATATCATGATGTAATGTTAAAGAAGCAAATTGCAAAAAGTGTGTGCAGAAATATCAATTTTAGAAGATATGTATTTATTTGTGCTTTTCCAAAGGACTGGAAGACACTCACTGAACTGTTAAGAGTGGTTATTTATCTCTGTCTTTCCACTTGATAGCAGTGGACCCAGCATGGGGTGGGTGTGAAGGAGGAATTTCATCTTTTTGCTCTATATTGCCTATACTGCCCAAAATTTTACAATGCATATGGAAAAATCTTTGGAGTTAATTGTCATACAAATATAAGACATTGTTTTAAAATTCTTCAATCTTTCCTATATAGAAAGCTTCTCAACTAATAAGTTAAATAAAAGATGACCTATGATACTTGATATTTAAAAAGTGGACCATTATTCTTATTGTTTAAAACGTTTAAGAAAGTGTACTTAAAAGGAAAGATATTGCCAGTTTATTTTTAAAAGCTTACAGACCTTTAAAAAAAATCCTTTCTGAGTCTAAGGCTCTATGACGATGCAATGTGTTGGTGTGCAGAACACGTCCTGTAGAACCACTTTGTGCTTGGCGTGCTTCTGTGCCCAATATCTTTTTTTATATATATTTTAAAGATTTTATTTATTTATTTTTAGAGAGGGAAGGGAGGAAGAAAGAGAGAGAGAGACATCAATGTGTGGTTGCTGGGGGCCGTGGCCTGCAACCCAGGCATGTGCCCTGGCTGGGAATTGAACCTGCGCTGCTTTGGTTCGCAGCCCGCGCTCAATCCACTGAGCTATGCCAGCCAGGGCTTCGATTTCTTAACTGGGCATAAGGACATTAGTAAACTGAGCTGGCTAAACTATGCCAAACTTGGATATTTCAGCTAAAATAATTTTATATCTTATTATTAAGGAAGGGACAAGTAATATATAAAATGTCAATCATTTTAATACAATTAGATTAAACTTTTTATTTCCAAAGAGAAGTGTTCTGAGTAACTTATGTGCAAAAGGAAAATACATAGCTTGCCACAGATACAGGGGTTCTAAAGTCTCTTTCATTAAAAAAAATCTAGGAATCTATAAAGCACCAACTAGACTATATTTTAGAACATGTGAACAAATTCAAATTAACCATGCCATTGAAAAGTGGAGCTCAATTCTGTAGAATTTCATTGGTTTCTAACCTAAAATCAGGCAAACATCCTATCTCCTGAAATCTGTGCACCATTCAACATCATGGCTTCTCCAACTTTGCTCAGAGAAACACAAAGTAATGAGCTGGCTTGTCCCCCCAGCTCTGAGCGGTCCAGTCCCTTTGTGGGATATGACAGGGCCAGAGCTCAACCCTTCAGAACCTCAGTCCAGCAGGTCCAGTTATTGATGGCCAAGCCAAATTAAACCATAAATTACTACTTACCTATTAGCCAAAGTTTTTGGTGTACATGCTTCCTTCTGCTATGTACATTTTGATGTTTAAATTTCAATTTTCATAGCCTAACTCTGTAACTGCATCTTTAGTAACTAACCCACCAAATTTTTTTTGTTTGTTTTTGAAGCAAACAAAGCAAAGACCATCTGGTTTTAAAATTCAGAAGACCATGTATGTAAAAAGGCTTGGAGACTAAGTGCTATACATTCATATCACATGGCTACTGTTATTAACAGGGTGAGTGGCTTAGGGTCCTTTAAATATTGAGGGTTTAAAAAAAACCTTTTCAAATGAGGTGATTAGGACCATCTTCTCCAGCACAAGCCCTTCTGTTTTTACAGAAATCTACTTTTTATCTCTATCAAGCTTGGAGAGCCAGTCATTAAAAAATACCAATTGGTCCTGGCTAGCATAGCTCAGTGGATTGAGTGCAGGCTGTGAACCAAAGTGTCACAGGTTCGATTCCCAGTCAGGGTACATGCCTGGGTTGCAGGCCATGACCCCCCGCAACCGCACATTGATGTTTCTCTCTCTCTCTCTTTCTCCATCCCTTCCCACTCTAAAAATAAATAAATAAAATCTTGAAAAAAAATACCAACTGTTTCACTGGGGAATTTTGGTTTGCATCACAAATAACTAAAGGTGATTCAGGAAAACAATAGGGTAACTGAGAAACAAGTTAAAGTTGTACATTTTTAAAAAGCAATGATATGAATTTGAGCTATTCATTTCCCTTGTATTGCCTATTCTTCAGAATGAATGTACGCAAACAGCCCAATCAATTACACAAACCAAGTTAAATTTTATACAAAAACAGTTTACATAGCCAGAAATAGCAAAGTAAGAAAACCCAACTTTCATCATTAACCTGAAATATCGTGGGGGAACCCACCACTTATATCTGGAAAATTTTTCAATGTTTGGAATTGTGTATGTAAAAAATAGTTACTGGGCAGTTCAAAAACAGCCAGACAGACCTGTGCTCTAACAGCTTACATATATAATCTTAAGCAATCTTATGCAATTTTAACTTTTACGATACACAGATTTCACAGAACAGAAGATGTAGGAGGATGAGTTGGATAGGTACAGAGAACACCTGTGATGAGAAAATGACCATCCCAACCACTGTGCACTTTAAAAGGGTGGATTTTATCAGTTGTGAATTATATCTCAATAAAAACCAAAATTAAAAAAAGAGTATCCCGAGTGCTGCTACATCCCAAGTGAGGTGTACGTCTACAGCCTGAATCTCCTGTTTGCCACCTCTGGAGCCTCCCTTCACTATAGTCTGCTCTTCCGTGTCCACTCTTTTTCCTTTGCCCATGTGACCTCATGTAATATTGCCACAGACTCTGAATTTCTCATGTCTCTCCTGCCCCCACATTGCAGGGCATAGGAAGTTTAACTCAACTTTCTTTCTTTTTTTTTTTAATTAATTGTTGTTCAAGTACAGTTTTCTGACTTTTACTCCCATCCCAGCCCAACCCCTCAGCCCTCCCCACCTCCCTCCCATTTCCACCCTCCCTGTTATTGTCCATGTGTCCTTTATACTTGTTCCTGCAAACCCTTCACCCTTTTCCTATGAAATTCCCTCCCCTCTCCCCTCTGGTCACTGTCAGCCTGTTCACTATTTCAGTGTCTTTGGTTATATTGTCCTCAACTTTCTAAATCATCCTGCCATTCACTCTGAGGACTTTCATTCTCTCGTCTCATTGCCTTTTTTGCAAGGAGATGGGATTTGTTGATGTCATAAAGCTTTGACTACTGTTCTCCTGAGACAAAAAGAAAGTGAATGAATATTTGTCAAATGCTAATAAATGCCAGGGGCTCTGCTGGGTCCTGAGTATCTGATGTCCTATTGCTTCTCAAGGACACGTAAATGGCCGGGATTCTCATTCCATACACTAGATGGAAACACTGAGCAGTTTCCATTCAGACATCCAGCAGATATTCACCCAGGATATGGTTCAGAGGGCAGGACTTTAAAAATCACTTATTGAATAGGGCTAATTCAAGACAAGGAAAACTTACTAAAATAACACAAAGCTTATAAAAAGTGGCACTGTTTGCTGGAGCATTTGAACACAATGACACTTCAAATAATCCCCTGAAGAACGCTTCCCATTCTAGGAGACTGGATGTTTATGGAGATGTGAGCTAATAGTACAAAAGAAAGGAGGAAACTCACAAAGACTACTTTTCTGCAACTAAAAACAACACACAAACCATTCGCTGGGAACCAGGCTTATTGCCACGTTGATGGCTCCAGGGGTTTGCCAGGGCCAGTGACACAGCTTTCTAGATTAATTGGGCTTGTCTCAGAGTTCCATCTGCCATCCCTTCCTCTTCCTACCAATAAAACTAAGTGAGGCTAATTCTGGTTGCATTTGACTGGGCGGAGAAGGAACTGCTGCAGAACCTGGAGTTCTCGGGTGATCCCGATACTGGAAAATCGCAAAATGAAGGATCTCTCAACTGTGGCAGCCATGGACTGAGGCAAGGCTGATGCTCTTCCAGAAGAACTTGGCTTCAAAAACTGCTCCTGGGCATTATCTCTTGGTACACCATCGTGCTTGGAAAGAGACTGCCTGGGTTCAAATCCCAGCTCTCCCTCTTCCTTGCTGTGTATCTCCCTGTGCCTGTTTCCTCATCTATAAAATGCAGATGGGAACAGCTCCTATCCCTTAAAGCTGTTGAGTGTTCAGTGCCTGGCACGAGTCTGTGCTATTTATTTATTTATATTTATTTTTGTTAATTTATTTTTCTTTTGTTATTGTTTTCAAGTATAATTGTCTCCATTTTTAATTCCTGTTAAATAAGTAATTCAAAAATAAAAACAAATATTGTGTATTAAAAAGACTTTAAGGAATTGCTTTCCTTATAGTATTTTGTTAACTGATTTGTACATGCTTACTTGAATTAGAAATTGGTAAAAATTAATTTGTAAGACCTCAATTGTTTTGCATAAAATGCAATCAGCCAGAAACTTAGAAATCAACAAAGATTTCCTTTTGCAGGAAAATAGGTTAAAATGGCCTCTTGTTATTGATGATATTGGCCAAAATGATTTCTGAGTGTCTCTGCAGTTATTCAGCAGATACATGCATACGCCTACCCCAGGCCGATGAAGTAGAAAGAAGAGAAGCATGGCTTTTGCTTTAGACCCTCAGGAAGTGAGGGTCCCGATAGGATAATCAACTGTCCTGGCCACCTCACAGTCCCCAGAACAAAGACGGACAGATTTCAGCTTTTCAAAGACCCTCCCCTGTCTCACAGAGGCAATTTAGCTTGCTATTGAGTTCATAACCATGTTTCTCTTGGATAGAAAAAAGCATGGTTTACTTGTGTAAATATTAAACATTACTTGCAATTAGGACTTTTTAAACTCTCACCACCCAAGCAGCTCATTTCAAGCGGAGGGCAGTGCTGTCATTCCCAGTGACCTCCTGCATCTGAGGCCCTCTGCACACTGCTGTGCCCACCTCACCTTCCTGGAGGAAATAAGGCACTGGGGTGACAGACGGTCTCCTCTGGAAAAAGACCAAGCTTACCCAAGTAGTTGTTGCTCTTGTGCATCTCGGTGATGTTGATTTTTGTGGCTCCTTGGGGAATCTCAACCACGCGGTGGTAGCCCAGGCTGGTGAGGGCGTGCTTGAACACGCCCGACACAACCTGACAGCCCGTGTTATCGCCTCCACACACCCCGCACTTGTCCACTACTTTGTCCGAGCCTAGGTAGTCGTCACAGCCGATGCTCTGCAAAGAGGTGGAAAACAGAAGACTCTTGTAGCATCTATCAGGGGCATCCGGGGAAGGAGGGAGAGGGCTGATGATCTAGTGGTGGGACTCGGACTGACCCTCCTCTTGCCCCATTCAGTTCCTGCAGATGAGCAAGTTCACGTCTCCCTTCACTCAACAGATATTCACAGAGCACCTACTCTGGGCAAGGACATTGTGTGAAATGGACATTCTAGGGGGTGGGTGGGGACACAGACAGTAAACAAGACAAGTGAAAAAAATAGTGTGTTTGGTGGTGGTAAATGACCAGAAGAATAATGCAGGAAAATGGGATAGGGAGAGTATGGGGATATGAATAGTTATCATACAGGTTGGACAGAGATGTTGTCCTGAAAACCCATCCCCCTGTTGGACTCTGACAGAGAGAGGCTGGGCCGTGCTGGGATTTTTATCCAAGGAAGTTCTTTGGGACCATGATAAGTGCTATACCTAAAACTAGGGTTTGTCCCCAAGTCTTCTGTTCTAGATGACTTGATTCTACAAGCACTTAGTGAAGGACCCCCAGAGGGCATGTTCTCAGGCCCAGCTTCCTAGGAAATTAAGTCAAATTGGTTGAGATCTGGGTCCCCACTTGTCGCTGTGGCCCTGAGGAGCTGAGCACCAGAACTTGTGCTTGGCTCCCCCAAAGCACTTTCCCAGGGCAGCAAGTGCGGGCAAGAAGGGCCAGAAGCATCAGCAAACTGGCTGACACGCGTCTAAACAAGGGGCACACAAAGGGAGTACAGGCAGTCTCGCCGGCATTTAAAGGAACTCTGACTTCCCTGCATTTCACCCCCAAAGACTCCCATTTCTCACTCCAAGATCTTTTTGCTTTATCTGCCCCCTCTCTATTCATGGTTCTGTTGGGGCAATTTTATTTTGCATAAAAAAGTTAAACTTTGGATCAGAACAGAATGGTCTTCATGGAATCCTTTCCCACTCCTGGAATTGGTGCTCCGGGACCCAAAATAGGGACACGTGATCTGAGCAAAGATCCTGTCATGCTTCCTCAGGGGATGGAGTCGGTGGACTGCAGTCTGGACAATGCAATATTTGATGATAGAATTGTTTCATGGAGGAATGGGACTAGGGAATGGTACTTGAAATCAGAATGAAATTCTAAAACTTGAGACACATGTTTGCTGAATACAGGCTTGTATTGGTTTTTGAGTTCTAATAATTAGACCTCATCTCAGGGGGCAAAGTGGTCAGCAAACCATTCCAAGTCCACTTCTGACTTTGTTAAACAACCCTGGGTCTGTGCACGTGGGTGCTACGGGTCAAATCGAACAGGCAGAGTTGAGGCAGGTGTTCATTCTTTCCCCTCCAACCTCACGTTTGATTGACACCTTTCTGCAGGCACCACGGGTCTGCATTATTACTTCCATATTCTTGAGTGCACATTAGTCCGTCAGTAACAACTGATCTCTCTTCACAAATACCTTCTCTGCAAAACATTATTTCTGACAATAACAGAACATTACCTCAATATGTTCATCCACATCCAATTAGCTTTTCAAAATGCCATGTTTGCTCAAATAGTTCTTGCCCCTGCCCCATGCATATTTTAGCAGGAGTTTTTTTTAAAAAAAGTTTTGTGTGCATGATTTCCACCCCTTCAACTCTTCAGTTCTCTTTTGGTTTGAAACAAAAAAATGCTACCACCAACAGAGATTTTGGAAAGTAGATTCTAACAGAATTAAGGAGATGCCTCTGACTGTCACTGTTGCAGAACAGGGACAGAAAAGCTGGTCAGCACCCCCCTCTCCCTGTCTAGTAACATCACACCTCCCACTTTTCCCACCCAGGGTCTATTCCTGATACCCCGACTTGCTGACTCGCCTGTCCCAGGCTGAGCTCATTCTCACGAGGCACTCCAAGTAAAGAGAACAATGTACATGGAGGCACAGAGGGAACAATGAACACCTAGAAAGTAAGAAGTAGGAAAGACTGACATGCTGTTGCTGGGAGGGACGAAATGAGGCTGCAGAATTCGGCTGAATTTGTCAAGCATCTTGTCCGCCAGGGTGAAGTGTAGGAATTTTGCCTGATGGGATCTGTAGTCCCTGGATGTCTGAAGAAGGGGAGGGCGATGCTCAGATTAGTTTTTCAGTTAATAACTTGGGCTGTAGCATGGGCATGTCCTTGAGTGGGGAGGACCAGCAGTCCAGTGAGTTTCTCTCTCGTAAACAGGGCTTAGGGATATTTCAGGAGCGAATGAGGGCCACAGGGGATGGGGCAGACACTGCATAAAACCGTCAGCCCTCAGCCCAGTTCGGTTGGGATGAGTACAAGGAAATCAAACCACCACGGGTTGCTTCAGACACCCACAGACGCAGACATACCAGCATTTTATCTTGTGAGTCAGACATTCTGTTAAAATGTTCGCACAGTGCGATGCATGCCCCCCTCCCACTGGACTTCCTGTGCAGCATGGCCACTCTGGGTGAATCTCGACACAGAGAGGGAGGGCCGCAGTGCTTCCTGGAAGACGTCCTGTAGCCCAAGGTTGGCTTCAGTGAAATGTATGGCCACACGCGATGCCAAGAACTAAGGGGGTGACCTTCTGTCTCCTCGGGGCCCGGCTCTGGACTCTGAATGTGCAATGTTCACTACTCAAGAGAGAAATTAGAGCAAGAAGTGCGGGAACCTTCCTTGGGGAAGACAAGGGCTGACAGAGCATCCTTCCAGTGTTGTAGTGGTGACCCGGGGTCTCCAAGAGACTGGGTTGCCATGGAGTTGCCAAACACCCCCTGTGCACTTCGCAAAACAGGAGGGACAACTTGGGCTCCTCAGTGAGAACTGGGCAGACAACATATATTCAAGATCTTTGTTTTTAGACAATTTTGCATACCTGACAACTGTCCCTTCTCTAGCACAGGGATCTTGTGAGGATCAGATGATGCAAAGAGGGAAAGTTTGGATTGGGCATCCCAGTATGGCATGGCTAAAGTGACCTATGGGCCAGGACCTGAATGACAAGCAGGACCAGCCAAGGAGGATCTAAACATGCAAACATGCATTTTCATCACTGATGTGGTTGAATGACTACACCAGGCAGGTGGCCTAGGAAATCCCGGGCTGAATCAGATTCCGGTTGGGAATGTGGGTCTAACTGGGGTAATCTATGCCACGCTGGGCTAGGATCAACTCTTTTTTAGGAATTTGTTAATTAACAATTGGGTACATAAAGTCTTGAGGGTGTTGCAACATCCTACCCTAAACTAGAGGAACGGTGATGGAGTGAAGAGAATTTGAGGGATGCTTAATAAGCAAAATGGACAGGTCTCCGTGACTGACCGGTTGGAGAACAAGGAGTTTGAATCCTCCTCAGCACCATCATACTCACACTTACATATATTTGAACACACTTTGAACATATATTTTTCTCATTTAACCTTAAAAGCAATCTGTGATATTTCTAAAACTTGTAGAAAAGAAATTAGGCAATTGGCCCAAGGCTATGCTTGCTAACAAGAGCTGCAGCTGAGATTTTAACCATAATCCCATGCTTTAACCATTATGCAAAAATCCCTCCTCCTCCCAAGGGTCAGAGGCCAGGCTGCGGGTTCTAGTTGTGTTGAAGGAGAAGATAGTGGTGGTGACCTAGGTGCAGAGGAAGAAGTTCAAGCACTGTTACCATAGTTTCTGAGGGCTGGCCCACAGGTGACTGGCATTCTCCTCTTTCAATATTACGAAGCACCAACCACATATGTATCTCTCTCCCATCGCCTGCTTTAGCCCTATACTCTACACACAGTGGGTGATTAAATATTTTTAGCTTATCTTCCTATTATACTAATATATATAGTCATAAATTTTTTAATTTTGAGATAGTTTAAGACTCACAAGAAGTTGCAAAAATAGTACAGAGTTTCAATGACCCTTTACCCAGGCTCCTGCAATTACAATACCTCTTAGAAGCACACCATGTCATTAAAACCATATATATGTATATATATATATATACACACACACACGTATATATATATTCCATTGCCATCGGTACAATATGTTAACTCAAGAGTAAACCTTCCTTTGATTTTACCACTTTTTCTTGGTGTGCAGTTCTATAAAATTTTATCACATGTCTAGATTCCTGTACTACATTACTTTAAAGCAGCTGGTATTCTCCAGGACATAGCCGTGCAATTGGTAGGTGGAGCTGACGTCAGTTAGCGGGAGAAGCAGTTGGCAGGATAGAAAGGACGTTGGACTGGGACTCAGAAAACCTGGGTGTAGCCCTGGCTTGGCCCCTCACTGGCCGCGTGAGGCTGGTGGGTCACTTCTCTGTAGGGCTGGAGCTGGAAACATTTTCACCACACCCACATCTTTGAGGGGATAGTGCCCAGAAGTGAATCTGGCCGGAATTCTGGTTTGTATCTCAGGACACTGCTCAGTTGGTTTCTGATGGGTATGACTTAACAGTGCTGGCTTATGTCCCCAAACTCTCTGAGAGGCACCACCAAAGGGCCATCAGTGGGTCCTTAAGGTGGCACTAGCCTCTGCTGGACCTGGGCCACGTGCTGGCTCTGCCACTTGGGGGCGTTGTACATTTGATCGTGTTCACTGGGCATTCTGAGCCTCGTTTCTTCATCTGTGGCTGGGGATGGTGCAGCATCTACCTCAGAGAGCTGTTGGGAGAATCAGATGAGATGAACGTGGGAGGCACTCAGCAGAATGCAGTTAACAGGGGGGCTTCATGGAAAACTCTGTTGTTATTTTTATCATTGTCTCCATATATTGGTTTCATCTGGAATCTATCTACTTTTAGGAAAATCCCATCATCATGTAACCACTTGGACCATATTTCTATAACACTTTCTATTATTTTTTAGTCACAGATAATCTCTTCTCCATTCAGAGAAATGTAGGAAAGTCTGAAGAGCTAAGAAAATGCCGAGGTTCAGCGCAAAGGTCAGAACCTCCTGCTCCCACAGTGCCTAGTGAAAAGCCAGCGCCCACTCGTTCCCTGATCT